AATAATCATAGTCTCAGAGCTTAACATCAAAAAAGGAGGGAGGGTGGCGTTAGCTGATCAGTAGATATGGTGGTGGTCACTAAGGTGAATCGCCCCATTCTGCAGGAACAGCAATATACAAATTAAAGGCTCGAGATATTTCTGATTTTTATGAGGGCTTAGATCTTTATCTTGAAAAAGATAATAATGAACGCCTTGACAGATCATGCTTCTACCTTTAAATATACCATTCGCTCAGCCTATTGTTGAGATGCGACCACGCGGGATCTGCACAGATTTATGGGGCATCTTATAAACTAACTTGCTGTCCATTGTCTGATCTTTAAATACCACTTCACAATGTCTTATCTCATTCATTTTCCAATAACGTCTTTACTTGATCCTCATTATATCCCATTAAACCTAACATTTTACAGCTCTTTATGACTTATTATATTCCTACTCTCTGAAGGGTACGGTTGTGCACTAAATGCACAAAAAGGTATAAAACAAAAACAACTGGCACAACTGAGGATAAATGTATTAAAACCAAAAGTGGACATCATGATAGTACGAGATATACGTGTAGCATTATACATTGCAAATGAACGTTGTCAGCCTAGGGAGTTTTCTATATTAATGCATTTATTAATGATACTTGCACTTACCCATTTCATTACACTTTATTGATTCACCTCAGCACTTTTACTTTTCTAAAACAGCTTTCAATCCCTTGTAAACGTTGTACTTACCTCAATTTTGGTTGGTTATCGTATGCCGACAACCACGGGATGAAAACGAAACGAAGTCGATTTTCCCGCTCAACCTGGAGGACAATTGTACAATTCAATAACTATACAGCCTAGTTCAGACAATGTGTATTTATATATATATCAAATATTTAACTGTTGAAACATTATTAACTTGTAGACAATCTACGATTTGATATTATATCATACTTGATCGTGCCTGTAAAAATGGCATGCATTTTCATGTAAATTTATATGTTTATATGAGAATATACATTATTATTATTATTATATTATCACTATGATTATTGAAAAATTGTCCTGTCATTAACCATCATGTAATATTAGTTTTGTGGTTGTTCTTTGTTCGGCACTATTTAACTGACAATCTTGTTTGTGAACGCCACTATCACCATCTTAAAAAATTTGTATTATGCATCATTACTAACACTACCACGACTAACACTGCATTAGTGCTGACAATTAAAAAAAACACAACCTGAAATGTATATTTTATGATTGTTTAGTGTTGTTCAATCAAATTAAGTGATCATCTTAGCTATAAACATTCTTAGGAAGATCTCATAATTTCTTGTGTGATCATAGCTGTTACTGTTCACCACGCATACACATATCATAGCTTCCATAACCCAGCACTGAAATTTTTTTTCACTATTAGTGTTTATCTTCCTTTCTACTTGGTATTTTTTATTCGCAAATTTTTCTTTTCTTTTGTTTTTTTTCTCTGTTATTTCTGAGTTTCGTTTTTTCGTTTATTTTTGTCGTGTTTTTTTATATATTTTTATTTATTTATTTTTTTTGTAAATCTTTTTAATGTACGATGAAATTAGATGCAATATTGTAGATATGTGCTGAAAATTCCACACTGTACCACAAGTACTGTTTCTGGAATAAAGCGAAATTGTTATTGTTATTATTATGAATACCTTGATCTTCTCTCTTGCATAAGAAAGAAATATAAATTTTTCCACTTCAGTGTTGTCATTTAATTTGCGAACTGTGCAGGCCCCTAAAGTAATGCATTTGCCATGCATGCTTCATACTGAAATCAGGAGTGTGCATGTTATACTAAATCTTCTGCGCTCTCTGTATAGATTCTGTGTTCACCAAGTGGCCATTTACACAACTGCTGAATGTTGCATGCGATCAAACTGGTAATTTCGAGAATTGTTGCCATTTTCGATGGCAGAAGTTCACAGACTATTGAGTTTTCACAGGAACCACGCCCATTTCTAAATTTAGTGAGAAGACATTAACTAAAATTCCGGGAAAGTAGTACGTCAGTATGTGAAATTCATGGCTCTGTGGATTGCATTCAATCCAAATAATACTGAAAATAAAATATAGGGGAAGTTATATTTAAGAGCAGGATATAATATCAGGTCATTTCGAAATATGTCGTCCATATTTTAGTCTAATTTCCTCATAAAAGTTGAAAATGTCCAGGATAATTACATTGCACCTCACGCTGTCCGTCGAAGAATTTCAGAAACGCTTTGTAATAACCAACGCGAAAAACAAAACACTGATTGGCGACTCGAGAATGCTTTATTCTTACGTCGATATGTAACCAACAATAAGGCTATTAACCACAAGGTTTAGGAATAAATGTTAAAACCATAAATCACGATAATACTTCCGACAGACATTTATCTTGCTCTGAACAGCGAAAGATGAGACGACGATTGGGGGATTGATGCCTGGGCGAAAATTGGGGAAGTTGGTTTTGAGCGAACAACCATGAATTGATCGTTCAATCTTCAACTACATTGACACTCCCCGTCACAAAATGGTCCATACCCTTTTTCCATCACGACCAATACACGTTGACTTGGATGCCATTGCGAGAACCTGAATCACACGGACAGAGCTGAAATGGATAACAAACAGAAAAGCCAACACACCACAGACATACCCACAGCACAATCACACTCATCGACGACGACCTGCGCCTCCAGATAAAGGTATCCTCTTGACACATCCTCTTGCAACACAATCGCCACTTGCTAGAATGACTCTTCCAGAAGGCATCGTGACCATGGCAGCATCTCATGATGCTCTTCGCACACCCTCTTATCTATTCACTACCAATTACCACTGCAATCGCTTGTCACTCATTCTGCCTCAGTTCTAGTAACGGTGACGTATGCAACCCTTGGTCATCCACAATCTAGCTCCCCGGTGGGTGGGACCGCAGCCAACAATTATCTCCGTATGCATTTCATTCTCAGCAATAGCCTCCCCGGTGTACATGACCCATCTGTTGTCTTCAACATCAACCAATTCATTCACGGATGTAGAAGACTAGAAACAACTTCAGAAGTAAGCACGACGAAAATTTAACAAAATTATGCAAAACAACAAGATAAGAAAACAATAAGTGAACACAATGAATCCAAAACCACCAACTGATATGACACACCACACATATATACAAACAGTACACACAAAATCGCGGATCATGTCCCGATGGAATTCCTTTGAAGGACTGAAGGACTTACAGCAGTACGCCTACAGCCCTTCACAGGTTGACGATTGTAAGTTGTGGAATGTGCGGACACAAACAAGATTAACCAACAATTACAATAATTGGAACTCACACAATTATTTAACACAAACATATGTACAATCAACACATCAAAGTGGTGGATTCTGCCTTAGCGAACTACCCTTGAAGAACTGTAGGACTTGCAGCTGTACGCCTACATTCCTTCTCAGGTTGATGATCCAAGTGGAAGTCGTCCAGACACAAACAGAGTTACCAACAGCTAGATGACAGATGATGTCAATTCAGTATATACAATATGAACATATGTACCAAATCACACACCAAGCACATTGGACTGCTCATTGATGCGCTACCCTTTGAAGAATTGTAGGACTTACAGCAGTACGCCTACAACCCTTCTCAAATTGACGCTCTAGTTTGGAAAATCGTCGCAGAGTTCATTTACTAACTTCCCGCTATCAGCTGTATCCTCAAATCTGAACGGCAACACGCTCATGTCATTGTATCGTAGAATATAGATGACGGACAAACACACGACATATTTGATCAACCAAGCGTAGGCACAGAGTAATTTACACCAAAGATAATAACATTCGAATAGTAACTTGAAACTAGAAATGCATTTATTCATGCAAGTCAATTTAACAATTACTCTCTCGTTTACACTTGGCTTATCCTCACTAAACTGAGCAGTATCTTTCGTCTTTTCAAACGCACCAATACTATCATAGTCATTGCACAAGATACTTGAGTTGATGGGCGTCTGCTTCATTGTGGGTGACAACACCAACGACAACTGATTGATACCAGTTGATGAACTTAGCGGTGGATCAGAAGCTGTTGTGGTTCGGCTTTCAGATAGTTGTCTAATTGCAAGATTACCACCACTGCTGTCTTTCACTACTAGTTCGGGTTTAGCACTATCATCTGATGATAGGTGGGCTACACGCTGATCAATTACACTGACGGTCTCACAAGTATCCATACCTTCTGCAATTTCATCTGCATTCAATTCTACTTCACGTTGTAGTTTTACAGAACCTTTATTCAACTTAGCTGTAGTAGGCATTCCCCCCATTTCATCATGATCAACCAAAGACAAATCTGCACTATCAATCCATCAGTCGTCGTTTCGTCCGTCGCTGTTCATAATGTAGATTTAAATACTCTCAATGGAATCTGGTGAATTATTGTTGTATTATTTTTTCTTGGACCATTCTCTGCAAAAGCAGTATTGCTGGTTATATGTTGGCGCTAGAATGGAGAATTTTTGAGTCGCCAAATATTGTTTTGGTTTTCGCGTTTGTTATTACAAAGCGTTTCCGACAATCTTCGAGGGACTGCGTGAGGCCTTGCGTAGCACCAGCTGGACATTAACGGTTAAATGAGACTTGATTTGCACGTGTAATGGTGTGTTTGCTTAACTCATTTTTTGATTCTGGTCACGCATCGACTTGTCACTGGAATACAAATGAAATTAATAGAGTTAAGAGGTGAGAAAAGTAATGTAGGTGGACTCAAAAGCACATACTGAAGGTCAAAATGAAAATGAAGTTCACTTAACCAATTAACAGAGGTACTAGAACATCTACTGTGACTGGTATCAAAACGAAATCTACCAAAGATGGTTTCATGTGATGACGAATAATTCGCCCCTCCCGGAGCAACCCTAAATCCAGGGAACATTGAAAAACACTGTCCTCCTCGAACTGCAACCGTAACCTTGTTAGGGCACGCATTTAAAATGAATCAAGCGCTGTACAACACTGAACTACCGTCCGTGAATCTCACTGGTTATTTCGGCGTTTTCCGCTGATTGTTATTTAATGGTGCTTAAAGTTTAACTTGACCAGGGAAAGATACTCCCTGTAACATTTTCATCCTTTTTCATGCTTTTTTCTATAAATATACGTTTCCATTTATCATAAATATACCGTTAATATGATTGGTGAGTTCGAGTTGCGTTTGCTGATTGGTTGTGGAAAGTTCAACTTTGCCGCACTTTTAAATGGTACGTTCACCTGTGTAAGGCATGGTAAGTTTGGCGGTTTTCTAATGTTCAAACCATGCTTGTCTACTTTCAGGTTGGCTGCGAAGTATGCAGGGATTGGTTACCCAAGACGAGGCAACGGATGACCAATAGGAGTGCCCTTCCCTCTTATCTACTTGTATTGCGATTGGTTGTAAATATAATACTTGACCTTGAGTCCTCGTTCTTACTAGCACGCAACACTTGTGTGATCACACTGCTAACGTGCGCTTTGCTCTCTGTTTCAGATCATTGCTTGACGAGTGGGATTACATAAATGGCGAGCCTGCCAGTGATAAAACTTTGTTCTTCTAAGTCTCGACCCAATGAGGCTTCCAAGAACACTTCTCCTGTCAAACAGACAGCATCTCACGAGGTGGATCAATTGGCTGAAGTGAGGGCTCCAGCTTTTCAGTCAAATCAGCCTGCTTCGCGATATGTCCATCCCTTGCCGCATACACTGGAGGTGGGTGATGATTTCGAGCTGTGGTCGGACAAGGTGTGCCGATACATTGGTCTGATGAACGTGCCTCACCCGAACGCATTCGTCATCGATTCTGTTGGACGGTCCTTGGAAATGTACACAATTGGTTTGGATTACGTGCATATGCCCTTGACCACCCTGTTGAGTACTCTAAGAGCACGTATAGTGCCACCAATACCTCCCATTGAAGCGCTGAAAAGATTCAGCGAGTGCAACCAGAGACAAGGTGAATCTATCAACCAGTTCACCTTACGTCTCCGCAAGCTTGCGCGTCAAGCTATGCAGGACAAGACACATTCAGAGGTTGAAAGCGCTATATATTCCAAGTTCTTGCAGGGCGTCGACGTCCGTTACAGGAAGGACTTCAACTTGCACACTCCAGCATCCATGACAGAAGCGGAAGCTAGGGCACGCCTAATGGAAAGCCTGGAAGAGCCAGGAACCACATGCCCACAAGTAAACGCAATGGGATATCAGCACACAACAACAAAGCATGCACAGAATCCTACACCACCGTGGAAAGGACGCCCACAGTCGCAATCCACTTCAAGAAACGATTGCTACTACTGCAGGCGGTTTGGTAAGCTTGCTAGGAGTTGTGGTCACAATGCAGGTGAGTCACATGTCGATATGAATTGTGTGCCTACTGTAAACCTAATCGGTGTCACCTCCTCCCCGAAAGTTGTAGGTTATATAGGCGGGAAAAAGTGTGTTATGTTAGTTGACTCAGGAGCAACTTGTTCTGTCGTACATTCCTCATGTGTTCCAGAGACGTTTAGGCCAACAATAGGGACTCACAATTTGCGGCTTACGACAGCCAATGGAGATTGCATGCAATCCCAGGGACTGGTCCTGCTGCCACTTAAATTGGGAACACTGTCACTTCAACACAATTTCATCATTTCTACCCGGGTGCCGTGGCAGGTAATCTTGGGAGTCGACCTCCTGGAAAAGCTGTCGGGAATAATAGATTGTAGTCATAGGACTCTTATACTGAAGGACTGTTCCATCCCATTTATTGTAGGGAACGACAAAGAGCACGGCACTTTTGGCGTGCAGGGAGATGCTAAGAGTGAGAAACAGCGAATGCTGACGACTATAGAACCCCTACCATCGGAAACGGCTGCCAACTTTAATAAAATGTTAGACAAATATGAGGACTGTTTTGACTGGGATGGAAAAAGCCCGGGAAGAACAAAACTGGTCCAACATCACATAGAAACGGGTAACGCCCCACCTTGTAGACAACCTGCACGGCGAGTACCTGCACATTACCAGAAGGAGCTTAACAGGTTAGTTGATGAACTGTTAGAGAAAAATGTCATCAAACCATCCGTATCTCCATGGGCTTCACCGGTAGTTTTAGTTAAGAAATCGAATGGGACACTCCGGTTGTGTGTAGATTATCGTAAGTTAAACCTGTTAACTAGACGAGACTGCTTTCCCCTTCCACGCATAGACGACACTTTTGATGCCTTAGAGGGGTCGAATTGGTTTACCACTCTAGATCTGGCATCGGGATATTGGCAGGTTGAAGTACACCCAGATGACAGGCAAAAGACAGCATTCATTGTACAAGCAGGCCTGTATGAGTTTGAAACAATGCCGTTTGGGTTAGTCAATGCCCCAGCAACATTCCAACGCCTCATGCAAACGGTCTTGAGTGATTGCATACCAGGTAAGTGTTTGGTATATTTAGATGATGTTATCATACATAGTAAGACGTTGACCGAACATTTAAGTGATATTTCCGAAGTATTAGAACGGATGCAGACCGTTGGGTTAAAACTGAACCCATCGAAATGTCAATTCTTCAGGAAAGAAGTGTGTTTCTTAGGTCACATTGTTTCAGCCGAAGGCATTAAATGTGATCCAGCAAAAGTTCAGGAAGTTAAAGACTGGCCGCTCCCAAACTCAGCCCCCGAGTTACATAGTTTTTTAGGGTTAGCCTCGTATTATCGACGTTTTGTACTTAACTTCTCTTTCCTTGCAGCTCCTCTATTCGACATTCTTAAGAAGAAAGACTACAATTGGACAGCATCAGCGACGGAAGCCTTCGAAAGACTAAAAAACTGTTTATGTAGCCCCCCTATCCTAGCGTATCCCAATGTTTCTGACCAGGCAGGTCCATTCATCCTAGATACAGATGCTAGCGACTCTGGTATCGGGGCAGTTTTGTCTCAAAAAGACGCAGATGGAGTAGAAAAGGTGATAGCCTATGCAAGTCGAGCACTCAACAAGAGTGAGAAGAATTACTGCACCACGCGGAAAGAAATGCTGGCACTGGTCAATTTTGTTAAACACTTTAGGGCATATCTCCTCGGTAGACATTTCATTGTACGCACTGATCACAAAGCCCTTAGCTGGCTACATAACTTCAAAGAAGCTGAGGGTCAGATTGCCAGATGGCAAGAACACCTACAAGAGTATGACTTCGAATGCATGCATAGACCGGGTAAGAATCATGGAAATGCAGATGCGTTGTCAAGAAAACCTCTTAGGTATCACGGTGACTGCCCATCATGCACCGAAGCACAAGTTTCGCTGCTCCAACTAGAGGCTCATACTTCATATAGTTGGCCTGAACTTCAGTCTTCAGACCCTGAACTGGCCTTGATTTACGAACGTGTTCGAAATGGAGGCGAACGACCGACAACCCAGGAAATAAGTAAGCTTGGATGGGAAACCCGGTGTTTATGGTCTCTGTGGGATAATCTGAAAATTGTCGATGACATCCTCTACTACCAACATGGACCCACTTATACTCGTCGCGTTGTGGCTCCACAGTCGGCACTACCCACAGTACTATTGTCATTACACCAGCAGTTAGGCCACGCGGGCTCAGGGAAAATGATTGAAGCGGCTAAAAGACGTTATTGGTGGCCTCACCAGAGGAAAGACATCATAGATTTCTGTGACTCCTGCGAGGTATGCCAAACTATTAAGGCTCCGCACAAATATAATAAGGCACCCTTAGAACCCATTATAGCTGGCCATCCGAATGACTTAGTACAAATAGACTTGGTTGGACCTCTCCCAGTAACTTCCAGAAATAATAACTATATTTTAGTCATGGTAGACCATTTTACCAAATGGTGCGAGGCTATTGCGATCCCACAGATTGATGCTGTAACCATCGCAGAGTCAATTTTTGACCACTGGGTCAGCCGTTGGGGGGCACCACTTCAACTGCATTCAGATCGAGGATCCAACTTTGAAAGTATCGTTGTCAGCGAACTCTGTCGTATAATGGGTATCCGGAAGACACGCACTACCGCGTACCACCCACAGGGAAATGGCTTGGTTGAACGCACCAATCGGACACTTAAAGCCCTCTTGCAGGCATTTGTAGATCAAAACAACCCCAGGGAATGGGACCGATCACTCTCACAGTGCTTAATGGCATACAGAGCAAGCATTCACAAAGCTACGCGTCAAACGCCTCATTATATGGTCACTGGAAGAGAACTCCGGTTGCCAATCGATCTGACTTCAAACACACTAGGAGAGGATACACTGATTGCATCTGAACACGTAATCAGACTTCGACGAAACCTGAACAAGGTACATCAGATGACTAGGGATATACTCCAAACAAACCAGAGGTACCAGAAAGAATACTATGATAGGAAAGCACATGGATCACCAGTCGAGCCAGGAGACAAGGTGATGCTACTTAAGGAGGCACCACCTAAAGGGAAAGCTCTTAAATTCCATAAACGCTGGGAAGGACCATTCACTGTAGTAGAGGTACTAAGTGACTGCACCTGTAGGATTCAGGAACCGAATTCCTCTCATAGTCTAGTCACACACTTCAATAGACTAAAACCTTTTCGACAACAGGCCTTAGAGCAGACAAGTCCCGCAGGAACAGTCACCTAGCACTGCGGACAGTGCTCCTATGGGAGAGGGGGTAGTGTAAGGCATGGTAAGTTTGGCGGTTTTCTAATGTTCAAACCATGCTTGTCTACTTTCAGGTTGGCTGCGAAGTATGCAGGGATTGGTTACCCAAGACGAGGCAACGGATGACCAATAGGAGTGCCCTTCCCTCTTATCTACTTGTATTGCGATTGGTTGTAAATATAATACTTGACCTTGAGTCCTCGTTCTTACTAGCACGCAACACTTGTGTGATCACACTGCTAACGTGCGCTTTGCTCTCTGTTTCAGATCATTGCTTGACGAGTGGGATTACACCTGGCACGAAATAGGCTACAGTGAGTCTCTAGGTCATGATGGGTTCTTGCGTCGGCTGGTTAAGCTTTCCTTACTTCGTTTTGCTTATTTTTCAGTGTGTAGGTCATTTTTTGTCACTGGATGCTACTATTAAGCTTATTTTCAGCCTGAACCTAGTCGTTTCATGCACCTGGGCAATGTGGGCAAAACGTGGGATAAATGGGTAATTTTGATCGGCAAACAGATGGGCAAAAGGTGGTGTAAATGCAACAGATTTTACCCAATTTGCCCACATTGGCCACTTTTTCCCAGTTTTTTCACGTGACACATGTTTTCGCCCACTTATCCTATGTGCAGAAATTCAAAATATACCCACTTTTTCCACGTTTGCCCATGTCATTTTAAAAAATAGCCCACTTATTCCCAATTTGTCCACGTTTGAACGGAAAACTGCCCACGTTTTTACTCACATATCTTAGGTCCAAAAAAGACCCAGTCGGTTAACCGACTTACTTTGTTTTGGACCTGGGATATGTGGGTAAATACGTGGGCAGTTTTCCGTTCAAATGTGGGCAAAGTGGGAAAAGGTGGGCTGATTTCGTTCGTGACATAGGTAAAGTGGGGGCAACTGGGCAATTATTTTCTGAAGACGTAGGAAATGTGGGAAAATATGGGAAACAGGAGAATTGGGGAGAATGGTGGGATTTCGCTTTTGTAGCTCAGTCACATGAGGTGAGGAACATTTCAGCCCGAATATTATACAATATGTATTTAATCATTAGAAATTTGCATGACGACAAATGGTGATGATTTTATTTCAATCATTTTGACACTTGTTTATGTGAATTTTAACTTCTGGAGCCGCGATTACAAGTTCTTCCTCGTGCATCCTGGTGAGTTAAGTGTTAGTAGTGTAATGTCATTTTTAAGTTAGTAAAATGGATTATTGAATTGAATTCTTGATTTTCCCGTCGATTGATTGGACCGAAGTGCTCGGTCTCAGGTTGACATGTCGGCTTCTTGTGCAGATGCTTCGACGATGTCTGTGGATTTGATTTGTATACAATTGGTGGATGGTGGCTAGCAGTGGAATCCAGGATGCGCATTTCGTCCTAATTGGGACTCGTCAGCTGGGAACATCATCACTCACTGATAAATGCAAGTACATCCAGATGACGAGTCCCAATTAGGACGAAATGCGCATCCTGGATTCCACTGCTAGCCACCATCCACCAATTGTAATAAAATGAATACTGAAAGTGAATTAGTACCAATTGTGAATCCCCCTAAACGCCTCAGAAGTACTTTATTCTTTTTAATATAGACTTGTGCTTCAGCTTTGTTTTTTGCCAAGAGGGCCACATGCCACCGATACACATTGTATAGAAAAAATAAGAGATTGAAGTCGCAGTTGCCAAAATAATACTTCCCGATTTCAGTGACGAGGCTGGTGGACGTCTAGTAGATGAAACTTCTTGTCGCGTCGTAATCGTGCAAAGTGACATGCAAATCACTTGACCAAGTTGGTTTCTCTGCATTTCTTCTGACGACTAATTGATAAGGTGTTTCCGCGGGCGCTCTGTTGTCCCATGAGAAATGTTCCAATAAGGCAAAATAACGCAATTCAGAGGCAGAACTTAGGGTAACAGCCTTAAAGGTTATGCTGACCACTAAAGCATCCATTGTTGATGGTATAAAGATAATGCGATTGTTCAAACGGCATCTTCCAAGTTTAACAACAGATATAAGACACCTTCTCAAAACTAGCCAGTCATGCCCCTCAACTGTTATTGGTAGTGGAGTTTACTATAATATTAGTTTGCAAAGTATACTTACGCCTATACTGAGTTGTTGGTTACAATTTTCATCTTTTAATTGCGTTAGTCTGGATTGTCACTGTTCAACAATGCTACATAGCAAGTTTGGCCGATAATGGGTAGACTGGTGAAACCGTTTCTCAGTGCGTCGATGGCACAGTGGTTAGGACTCTCGCCGACCATGAACATGGTCCGGGGTTCGAGCCCACGCCGACGCACATCTGATATCTATGGTCGGCCTGCGAATTTTGGGCTACCGATATTCACGCTGAAAATTCCACACTTGTACCAAAATACGATGTGGAATCAAGCTGTAATCAAAAATAAAAATAAATAATTATTGGAGTTTGTGGTGGCTTTCATAAACCGTCTGACTTCAATGACATTTTAATGCCAGTTGTAACTGACATGGAGCATTTATATGCACATGGTCTACAAATCAATGAGAGGCACATCGGCTTCCGGTTTAACATTGTCATCTCCGATAAGCCTGCAAGATCTGATGTCACTTTCACAGCAAGTCACAACGGTAGGAAAGGGTGTGACAGATGTTGCGTTGCTGGAAACTATGTTAACCGGCGCATGGTATTCGGTGATAACAGCTGTCGCAGAAGTAAGGATGATGCCGATTACCACTGTGACACATCAGTATTTGAGAGACTGTCAATTGATATGGTTAGTGGGTAAAATCTGTTGCATTTACACCATCTTTTGCCCATCTGTTTGCCGATCAAAATTACCCATTTATCCCACGTTTTGCCCACATTGCCCAGGTGCACTAACCGACTGGGAAGTTCCCAGTTAATTATGTTGATAATCAAGGATTATGGTAAACCAATGAATCATGGAGCCAATTAGCGTATACTATGCTAATATAGTAACATTATTTAATAAGTAAACTCCCTGGCTGTTCTGCCATTGTTTGACATTAAAGCTGTGCGTGGTTTTTTTAGCATATGTGGCAGTAAATCAAACCGACCGCATTTGCTTATCAGCGCTGTTCCAGTCCTCACAGGACACACCGATTTCAACTAAATGAACAATAGCATATATTTCAGTGTTTATATACCACTGGTCGTAACCTAGTAAATTTACTTGAATTATGCTGGCCTAGTATGCACAAATCCCACAGGTCAATAAACTGACAACTTGAGAAAGTAGACCAGTTAATACATACTTGTGTGTATATGTACTATATGTACTAATTAAGGACACATTAAATGTTTAAAAATTCGCCTAATAAGCAAAAATGCATACATCCTATTTTGGACTTAAAATAAATGCATCAAAATAACTTAATTTATATTTACTTACTAGACATTCTCATACATCTCAGTGTACTTTAAACACAACCAATGCATCCAAATAGTGTGTGAGTATCACACTACACTCACACCAACAAAATTAACACACCATAACATTATAGTACGGTAAGCTATGAATTAAACTGACTGTAAATTTCCGTGTCAAAATAAAAAAGATTGCTGCTTTAACTTATATTTTAGACCAGTAGGAAGCCAGCTAGCCAACAGCCAATCAAAATCTGCCTAAATCTATTTTCGCTTGGCATTTTGAGGATCTTTTGTTGTCCTGCTTGATTTCCCACATATTTTTCGTTAAAGTTGTGTGTCAATAATTTTTGATTTCTGTTGTTATCAGGTGTAGAAGCCTTTTGTACGCTTACCAAGACGTGTTTTCTGATATATATATGTGGGTAACTGTTCACTGTTCAAAACTTAGGGTATACTGAGGACTTTGTGATAATTCCTTGCAAAAATGTCCGGGATCCCTGTGTGCTCTACCACCCGTTTGTGGTGTCGCAGTTTTCTTTTGGGATAACCTGCTCGGAAAAATTGGCTTTGTGTGCGTCGGTGGCATAGCGGTTAGGAAACTCACTGACTACGCACATGGTCCGGGGTTCGATCCCCGGCTGACTCACACCTGATATCAATTGTTGGCGTTCTAAATTTGTGATACAGATATTGCATGCTGAAAATTCCATAGTTGTACCAAAAATACTGCCTAGAAGAGAAGCCAACTTCTTGGAAAAAGACGGTTGACAAAAAGAGTGTTTGGTCTCCGAAATAAAAGATATGATGAAAGGCTAAGGAAATTAGGCCTATTCACACCTAGCTACCGCCAGATTAGGGGAGATTTGATTACTGCCTACAAAACAATGAATGTGAACCAAGAAAAAAGAAACCTTGGCGCAGAATAATCTGGATCCATTTTATTTCGTTGGTTCTCACCAGCTGCGTACAACCTGGTTTTTTTAATAACGATGAAGAGTGTACAATTTTAACAAACCTTTGTCCATTAGCGAACATACTGTCAGAGCGTCATAGTAAAATAAGGCGTTGAGATTTACAGGGTGTCTAGTGTTACGATATATATATATATATATATATATATATATATATTCTTGGTATTATTATATCCTTTAATTCTTAGAGGAACGTAGGGCTTCAGCTGCGCATCTCCATTGCCTTCGGTCTTCTGCCAACTTCTTCACCCCGCTCCAAGTCTGCCCACATGCTTTCATCTCCTCTTCACATGACCTCCAAGTCACCCTCACACTGACGACCAACTCGCCGCTTCCCTTTCGTCTTCCACTCGAGCAATGGCTTGTCTAGTGATGTCACCTGGTGGTTTCCTCAGCGTATGGCCAGCCAATCAATCTCCATTTCTTCCTGCCTATTTGTTTCACAATCGGTTCCTGGTTGGTTCGCTCATTGCCAGAGATCCCTGTTGCTGATCTTTTCTGGCCGGCCATCTGATCTTGAGCGAAGACAACTGTTAATGAAGGTCTGAAGTTTTTTTGACATGCTCTATGACGCGCTGGCCAAGTCTCTGATCCGTAAAGTAGCACTGACTGACTTCACATTGAAGTTGAAAATCCGGATCTTATTTTTTATGCTGAGTGATGTTGACCTCCACACAGACTTAAGAGTAATGAAAAGCCTGTCTTGCTTTCCCGATTCTAGCTTTGATATCCTCGTCAGTTCCACCCGCCTGTAGATGAAACGATACTTCCCAGGTAGGTAAAGGAGGTTGTTTCTTTCAGGTTCCTCCCATTCATGATGATTGTTGTCTGTTGTTGTTGTTGATGATGTTGCCGTTGGTGTTGGCCAAGAATCTTCATCACCTCTGTTTTATCTATGTTCACCTGAAGTCCGATCTTCTCTGGATGCTTCTCCTGCCAACTTGTTGCTTCTCACTTGTGGGAAATCAGACATATCGGTGTAGTCCAGACCCTCCAAGTTTTTGGGGTGAGTTCATTTTATTATGCCTGTTTCCTCATTGCCCGTTGTCTGTCTCATTATCCAATCTGCAATCAAGAAGATCATTGGCGATAGTGGACAGCCTTGCCTTACTCCCGTCCTCACTTCGAAGGCTTCCGTAATTTTTCTCGTTGTGGATTACTTGGCCTGCAGCATAGTCGTATAACTATTGGATGAGATGTATAACTGTCTATGGGACGCCGTAGTAGCGAAGTAACCTCTTGATCGACGCTGTCGAAGGCCTTTTCAAAGTCGATGAGGTTGAGATAGGTGACTGCCATTCCAAACTTTGTTCAGTGATGATCTGTAGAGTGGCGGTTTGATCATTACATGACTTGTTTCACCTGAATCCGGTCTGTTCCGGTCGAAGTTTTTCATCCAGGACGTGTTTGATTCTCCAATATATAAATGTATATATATATATCTTTTAACTCATGTACCATTACAATTTCCTTTCCTTTTAGTTAATTAAAAATGGCTCAGATGCCTTTAGAAGTTAAAATGGAGATCGATTTAACTACTAAAGTAGCTGAAGCTGCTAATATTGATCAAACTCTTGTCAGTCTTGTTGTTCCAATGTTTGAAAACGGTTATACTGTACCATTTATTGCACGTTATCGGAAAGAAATCACAGGTGGTGTAGAACCGGCGGTGCTGCATAGATTGAAAGAAAAAATGAATGATTGCAAGTAAGTAAATATATGCATAAGGAAAACGATATACTGCTGATTGATTGAGATAAGCAGTTATATGCATTCTACTCATACTAAGTAGTGCTTGCTAGCTCATCAGCGGTGTATGCCTACTTTAAGTTAGTTGAAACTACACCCGATTTCTGGCTACAGCTACTTAAACTTATTGGTGAAAGCATGAGTAGCTAATTTGTAGATTATGAATTTCACTTAAGTCATTTATAATTTTAAGTTTGCATTATGCAGATCGATATCAGTATCAGAGAACCATTGTAAACCACCAGAAAGTACTGTGAACAGCCAGTTGTTCCGCTTGAGTACTTGAGCCTCTTCATTGGTAAGCAGGAATCGAACTCAAGAAACTTCAGGTAACGAGATGGAGCTCACCGACCAACACTTGAAAATGAATCTTATGCTCATTATCTGCTGACGACTATATGGAACCATGTTGCCTGGAGTCCTGGTGGGAAGTCGTAACCAGCGCGGGTTCAACCAACTAGGCTGTAATGACATTGACTAGCGGTGGCCTTGAACGTTGCTATCGGATTCCATCCCAAATGCCTTGTAACGTGAAGGTTGTGTGTTTTCGAATCCCATTTAGGGAGTTCATGGGTGCGTACAGGTGAAGAGTCTTACAAGCATCGACGACGCAACTATCTGTCTTGTACTCCTTGATGGTTTCCAGTGGTTCTCTAACTGATATCAATCTATAATCAAAAAAATCTGTTTGTCTGTGTGTTTTCGACATAGAACTTTGCACATATTTGCGGCAGTTCACGTCGCCACACTCCACGTAGAACACAAAGCAAGAGAAGAAATGCATAGTAGAGACAGTGAACAGAGTTGTGAGACAAAACCAATAGCAATAACGAAGAACAATATAGTTTCATTGGAAATAATAAGTCACAAGGAGTGGATGCATCTGCACCACTGAGAACAATTTTGAGCCACGTCACCAATTGTTTTCAACCATTGGTTTGTGCCGTCCCGAGGACCCCAACCAGGAAGTCTACACCTTCCTACGTGACTTAAACTAACTGTTGTGGATTTCATTGACTGGTGCCACGTTTTGGTTTGACCTCCGCTAGCTTTTTTCTAGCCTGATCCTATCTCACCTAACATTATTCGTCGAGGAAGGCGATGACTAGTCATTCCATCAGATTCCACCATTCCATCAGATTACGAAAAGGTATCGGCGAGTAGTGCAGTCCTTTCTCCTTTTTACAGATCCGTCCAGGCGGGCAGAGCACATTCGGCTATCTACCGGGTTCTAGTCAAGTAATATCTCTTCTACCCTAGTACTCAAAGCTATCCCTACACCAGCTAATCCTCGTGAACAAGCTGTGGTATCTCCTGACAACCTCACGGTGAATTTCGCAGATTCATCCTGTTGGCCAGGTGGGGTTAGGTGAATAACCACACTTGGGTCTTGTATGCGTGTTTCTGAAACACAACATACATCAATGGCTCGGGACGCCAGAGTCTTAGCTAGTGATGCTTGTTGTCCTATTTCGCAAAGTGTCCTAACATTAAATGCTCCTATATGAAATTGGTGGCTTGGCTTTAAGAGACTATCGGCGGTGGTTTTTTGGCTTCCGTCGTTTTTGGTGGACACAGAGTGGAGTGGAAGTGAAGAGCTATCAAGTAGAGTAGTTGCATCAGTGGAAGGAAGGCAAGATGATAGAGATGACGATGAAGACAAAGATGAGTGAGGATTAGAGAGGTTTCGTGTGCATTTCGGATTGTGAGGGCGATTGTTACTTCCCGGCTGCCCACACCGTGGGAGTTGGTTGCGTGACCGCAGAGCCCAGGGGACAACTGCTCGAGGCCGGTCACACGCGGCCTGTTTTTGTTTCTTCTTTATTGTTTGGTGTGTCTCAGTAGCATATTTATCACTTCTGCCCTATGACGCGGCAGCAGGAAGCCCGGTTGTTGTTAATCCGGACCCCGACCGATCCGGCATGGTATTTTGTGAGTTTGTTTGTATCATAGTATTGGATTGGGTAGCTGCTTTTTGTCTAACCGCTATCCAAACAACCTTTCTGGCATGGTAGGACCTCAAGAGACATAAGTCTCAGCCAGTATAGTTTGTTGGGACATTGTGGTGTTGGAGCCTGACCACCAAGTCAAGGTAGCAGCTTTCCGTTCAAAGTGACGGTTAAAAGTTTTACTTTTCTCCTCTTGCTTTACTTTTAGAATGCTGATTAACAAAATAGAAAAGTCGATGCGACTTTTCAATAAACGGGGTCTACTTACCAATGAATTATCACAACAGTTAATGCGGTGTAAAACGACTGAAGATATAAAACTATTAGTAAGTTTTTTTACACTATAAATTTTAATCATACCAATTTATTTTCCTGCTTTGAAAGTTTCGTTTTCTTTTCATTTATAGACAGATTCATTGATGCCTAAAGGTCCACATACATTGGCTGGTAAAGCAAAAGCCGCCAATTTAGAGTCCGTTGCTCTTGATATCCTCTATTCTTATAGATTTGTTCATATTTACAGTCGAGCTTCTTCAGAAGCTAAAAGTAAGTGGATTTTAATGTATAGTTTTAAGTCTTTTTACAAAGTTTTAATTATTATTGTTCGCTTGGATTCCTAGTGGAAAATAAGGCTACAACGACTTCATCCTGTTCTTTACAGTCCTCTTTAGTTAGCTCTACGATTACCCCGTGGTCTCATCTTGTCACACCATCTCCTCCTCTATGTCAGCCTAGGACTCATTCCCAACTCGTTGTTTCCTATTCGGGTTCCACTCAGGGCTGTGCCTGTTGCGCGATATCATTCGACGGTCTCCTCAGAGTATGATTGATCCGTCTATTTTTTCTTCTCCACATTTGTTGAGCAATAAATTCTTGATTGATTCGTTCCCAGGGTGCCGTGTTGCTTACTCTTTCTGACTGGTCACCTGATCTTCAGTACACACCCAGCAAAAGTAGCTGTTGGTAAAAGTCTACAGTAACCTGTTGGAAAAACTTTTCGTGACGCATTAAATTTCTGACTGAAAACTGACTTAACATTTGTGCTGAAAATTCAAAGCTTGTTCTTAATGATAATAAGTGAGTGAGTGCAGAAGGTTTCCGAACTGATTTCATGGTGGTGATGATCTCTCCTGCCTTTGCAATCCTGACTGGCTTCGATATCCACCTCCTTGACTATCAGTCTGTTATTCAAACGGTGCTTCCTATATACGTCAAAGAAGTGACCTCTTTCTAATTCCGTATTAGTTTGTTTATTAGATATATCAAACAGTGAAACAGTATTATTTACTGGATGACGTTTCAAACACAATTTATTGTTCATAATCATGTCAAATAAACTAATGTGGAATTACTTACTACCACAGTGCCCAAGTTTTACACATATATTGACCTCTTTCTGTCTCTCTGTCTGTCTGTTTACGACATAGAACTGTGCACATACGTGCGGCAGTTCAAGTCGCCACACTATGTAGCACAAAAGGTAAGAGAAGAGAGTACCAGGAAGGCATAATAGACACAGTAAACGAAAGCTGCTACCTTGACGTGGTGGTCAGGCTTCAACACCACAATGTCCCAACAAACTATACTGGCTGAGACTTATGTCTCTTGAGGTCCTACCATGCCAGAAAGGTTGTTTGGATAGCGGTTAGACAAAAAGCAGCTACCCAATCCAATACTATGATACAAACAAACTCACAAAATACCATGCCGGATCGGTCGGGGTCCGGATTAACAACAACCGGGCTTCCTGCTGCCGCGTCATAGGGCAGAAGTGATAAATATGCTACTGAGACACACCAAACAATAAAGAAGAAACAAAAACAGGCCGCGTGTGACCGGCCTCGAGCAGTTGTCCCCTGGGCTCTGCGGTCACGCAACCAACTCCCACGGTGTGGGCAGCCGGGAAGTAACAATCGCCCTCACAATCCGAAATGCACACGAAACCTCTCTAATCCTCACTCATCTTTGTCTTCATCGTCATCTCTATCATCTTGCCTTCCTTCCACTGATGCAACTACTCTACTTGATAGCTCTTCACTTCCACTCCACTCTGTGTCCACCAAAAACGACGGAAGCCAAAAAACCACCGCCGATAGTCTCTTAAAGCCAAGCCACCAATTTCATATAGGAGCATTTAATGTTAGGACACTTTGCGAAATAGGACAACAAGCATCACTAGCTAAGACTCTGGCGTCCCGAGCCATTGATGTATGTTGTGTTTCAGAAACACGCATACAAGACCCAAGTGTGGTTATTCACCTAACCCCACCTGGCCAACAGGATGAATCTGCGAAATTCACCGTGAGGTTGTCAGGAGATACCACAGCTTGTTCACGAGGATTAGCTGGTGTAGGGATAGCTTTGAGTACTAGGGTAGAAGAGATATTACTTGACTAGAACCCGGTAGATAGCCGAATTTGTGCTGTCCGTCTGACCTCTTTCTAATATCTTACGTAGATAATAACTGGTGCTTGTTTTAGATTGGTCATTTTCATCACTTCCGTCTTCTCCCTGTGTTCCGTTGAATTCCTGTCTTTTCGCTGCATTTTCTGCCAACTTGTTAGTTTTCGTCTGCCTGTAAGTATTCGAATTTATGTGATATTAGACATAAATCGTCGGGAAATTCCAGATCTCCCAAAGTCTTTTTACCTGTCCAATGTATCACTGTCTTGTCCCTCCCCCTTCGTACGGTGAGCCGAATAATCTACTCCATCACAATTAGGAGTACCACTACTGATATTATGGAGGTAGGCCTGTCTTACTCCTGTATTCACTTCAAACACGTCGCTGAGTTTCCCATGTGGATAGCTAGGCACGTGCCATTGTCATGCAGCTGGATGACAACTGCCTAAAACCAGTCACATGTGACCCGCATAAGACTATCAGAAGCATTACTGCTGGCTACTTAAGGAAATCTAGGGTTAGTTACAGTTCAGAATAATTCTTAAAAATAGGAAGCAAGTAGATCTGGTTCTCCAAATACTCATGGTGAACACGTTAGTGTATCACAACTACTTAAGTAAACAAAACGGTCTGAAGTTTTGAACCTGTTTGATGCTTGCGGACCTTTCAGTTTCAGGTTCTTTGGTATGTGTTCATAAATGCGGACACTAACCCTTCTCTCTGTTCTTCCAATGTATGTGCTTTGGCACGTACATGTAAATTGGTAGACACAGTTGGAGGTAACACTAGTTGGGTATTTGTCCAATTTTGATTGTCTCAAACAACTAGTTGTTTGAGTGTGATTGCTCGTCATCTATTGGACACTGGCCATATTGTAGACAACTTGAAGTCGTTCAAAATAATCAACAAGCTGAAGAAACCTAGCTTGCTACGCTATGCTGAAGCAGTTGCCATCAAACGACTTAAACCAAATCTATGTACGCAGAAAGAGACAGTGACGAATCTTGCACTGCTCTGGTGATAACAGAAAAATATAATACTTTCATGAGTCCCTTTTACATGTTTAGAAAACTCTACTCTCTCATCTAAACATGACTCACCCTACCTTGTTCCTTTTCTTTCCTTTTTTCTGTTGGCTATTACATATGACGTTTTCTTTATTATTATTATTATTATTATTATTATTATTATTATTATTATTATTATTGTATCCTTTAGTTCCTAGAGGAACGTAGGGCTTCAGCTGCGCACCTCCATTGCCTTCGGTTTTCTGACAACTTTTTCACCCTGCTCCAGGTCTGTCCACATGCTTTCATCTCCTCCTCGCATGACCTCCTCCAAGTCACCCTTGGACGACCAACTCGCCGCCTCCCTTTCGGGTTCCACTCGAGGGCTTGTCTAGTGATGTCACTTGATGGTTTCCTCAGCGTATGGCCAATCCATCTCCATTTCTTTCTGCCTATTTGTTTCACAATCGGTTCCTGCTGTGTTGGTTCGCTCCCAGAGATCCCTGTTGCTGATCTTTTCTGGCCGGCCATCTGATCTTGAGTATTGAGCGGAGACAGTTGTTAATGAAGGTTTGAAGTTTGTTTGAGATGCTCTTTATGACTCGCCAAGTCTCTGATCCGTATAGTAGCACTGACTTCACATTGGAGTTGAAAATCCGGATCTTATTTTTGATGCTGAGTGCTGTTGACCTCCACACAGATTTGAGAGTAATGAAAGCTTGTCTTGCTTTTCCGATTCTGGCTTTGATGTCCTCGTCAGTTTCTCCTGTAGTTGAGACGATGCTTCCCAGGTAGGTGAAGGGGGTTGTTTCTTTCAGGTTCTTCCCACTTATGCTGATTGTTGTCTGTTGTTGTTGTTGCTGTTGGCTAGGAATCTTCATCATCTCTGTTTTATCTATGTTCACGTGAAGTCCTATCTTTGATGCTTCTTCTGCCAACTTGTTACTTTTCACTTGCATATCTTCCAGTTTATGGGAAATCAGACATATATCATTGGCGAAATCCAGATCCTCCAAGTCTTTTGCGTGAGTCCATTTTATGCCTGTTCCCTCGTTGGTTGCCGTTGTCTGTCGCATTATCCAATCAATTGCAATCAGGAAGATCGTTGGTGATAGTAGACAGCCTTGCCTCACTCCCGTCCTCACTTCGAAGGCCTCCGTAAGTTTCCCGTTGTGGATTACTTGGCATGCAGCATTGTCGTATAACTGTCGGATGAGATGTATAATTGTCGGTGGGACCCCGTAGTAGCGAAGTAGTTTCCAAATGACCTCTCGATCGACGCTGTCGAAGGCCTTTTCAAAGTCGATGAAGTTGAGATAGAGAGGTGACTGCCATTCCAAGCTTTGTTCAATGATGATCCGTAGAGTGGCGATTTGACCAATACATGATTTGTTTCTCCTGAATCCAGCCTGTTCCGGACGAAGTTTTTCATCTAGGGCTTGTTTGATTCTCTCCAGGATGATGCGACTTAGTATCTTGCTTGGAATGGACAGAAGCATAATTCCACGCCAGTTTTTACATTGACTTAAGTCTCCTATCTTTGGAAGTTTAGTTACGTAATTTACTTTTTTGATATGCTCTTTCTAGCTAAAACTTGCTTGTATACACACATATACGCAAACCTCTTTTTTTTGTTTCCAAGCCTAATTTTCTAATTATTCTATAAATAGTCAGGGTTTGTAACTCCTAATTCCGGACTAATTTTACTTTTAATTCCTACCGATTACTCCTTATGATCGTGGAAAAGTATGTTCATATCTTTAATCTAATTCATATTTTTAACGTTCACGTTGTAACCAGTTGAGAAGAATCCTCGAAATAATAAAAGATGAGCTCATATTATCCTGGTACAATTGTTGTTCTTTCTTTGTTCAGATGTGATGATTGTTGGATATCGGTAATCATACCTATATTACAGAATCTGTCGAAGGGTGAAGATATGATCTGTGTGTCTGTCTGTTTTTGACATAAAACTTTGCACATATGTGCGGCAGTTCAAGTCGTCACACTCCATGTAGAACACAAAGTAAGCGAAGAAAGTACAAGGCATAAGAGAGACAGTAAACACAGGTGTGAGACGAAGGAATAGTAGTAACGAAGAACAACATAGTTTAATTGAAAATAATAAGTCACAAG